ATATAAAACATGTATATATATATGTGTATGTGTATATATATATATGTATATATATGTTATAGTACATTTGTATTATGGGTGTACTATATCTATATTTAGGTTTGGATCATGTATTGTGGGCGTACTGTGTCTTTTATTATATTTATGACTACATCTTTTGTGGGGTTATTTGAGTATTTTGTTTGCAGCAGGGACATTGGTGATATGTTAGATATTTAGGCGCCCGCAATGGTCGTTGCAAATACAGCTCCGTTCTAAATATATATATATATATATTTATTTAATTTTTTTGTACTGTCTTGTTTTTAATTGCAGAACGGATGTCGGTCCCAAATCCAAAGTAAATGTCCAGCGCCAGAAATCGGCATTTCCGCCGAATTTTGTGCATTCGCTCGATGCGACGCACATGTTGATCACTGCCACTATGTGTAGCAAAAAGAATATACTCTTCGCCTCAGTCCACGACTCGTACTGGTAGGAATGCGTTGGGTTTAGGGTTCAGGGTTTTTGTAAGTTTAGATATATTTGGTTGAGTTATAGTCTTATGAGCAATGTCGATGCTGGTTAAAAATGGGGTTGTTGGTATATATACATTCGCCCGGATTATAATCCACGAACAATACTGTTAAGTATAGTTCGGCAATACGGAAGTATGCAACCGGCTTAAACCGTGACTCCACTGGTAAGGTTGTTTGTTGTAGGGTTGACTAGTATTGTTCATGTTGGTAGGGTTTAGTAGATATCAAATGCAGTGTATATAACATTGTTCATGTTGGTAGGGTTTAGTAGATATCAAATGCAGTGTATATAACATTGTTCATGTTGGTAGGGTTTAGTAGATATCACATGCAGTGTATATTGCATTGTTCATGTTGGTAGGGTTTAGTAGATATCAAATGCAGTGTATATAACATTGTTCATGTTGGTAGGGTTTAGTAGATATCACATGCAGTGTATATTGCATTGTTCATGTTGGTAGGGTTTAGTAGATATCATATGCAGTGTATATAGCCTTGTTCCTGTTGGTAGGTTTCAGTAGATATCATATGCAGTGTATATAGCCTTGTTCATGTTGGTAGAGTTTAGTAGGTATCATATTCAGTGTAAATAGCTTTGTTCATGTTGGTAGGGTTTAGTTTGTCAATATAGATATCATATGCAGTGAATATAGCATCGTTCATGTTGGTAGGGTTTAGTAGATATCATATGCAGTGTATATAGCATTGTTCATGCTGTTAGGGATAGTTTGACAACATAGATTATGTATTAAGTGTTTAGTCTGGTATGAGTCGCAAACATCCTAGTATGTATAGTTGGTGTGTGAATACGTTCATATATCACCAGGTCTCTAGACCGGTTTAAGTCCTCGTATGGCTGGTGTGTGGATACGTTTATATCTAGTCTGTACTGGTGCTGCTTTTTGTACCTACATGCACCCATCCCATTCACACTTCATTGTCGTATGATATTATCATACGCCTACCCTACTCACATATCGTATTGTCGTATGATTTTGTCGTACGCCCACCCTACTCACATATCGTATTGTCGTATGATTTTGTCGTACGACCGCCCTACTCATACATCGTATTGTCATATGATTTGTCGTCCGCCCACCCTACTTATATATCGTATTTTCGTATGATATTGTCGTACGCCTACCCTACTCACATATCGTATTGTCGTATCACCCTACTCACATATCGTATTGTCGTATCACCCTACTCACATACCGTATTGTCGTATGTAGGACACACGCTGGCTCGGTAGAAGATATGAACATACTTATCCGAGATGCCTTCGTCGAACTGCACAGACAGCCTATTCTGGACCAGCTCTTGGTAAGTATCTGGTGATAGTATACTAGTTAGACATGGTCGTGGAATATACTAAACCCTAAACTGAATGTCGTATAAATTGATACTTGATGGACGTTAGGTATATACATAACACGTGCGCACTCTGAGGATAGTTTGAATCTACACACCAAGACACGAGACACATCCTTGACGACACCATGACGTTTGCTACTTACAGCAATTCTGGAAGGCCCACTATGGAGGCCTGAATATGATTCAAGGTGCGAGGGCTAAAAAGGTCAAGCTACTGCCACTACCCAAGCGAGGCATTATTGATCTGGAGGTACGTACGAATGTAAAAGTATATATTTTTATATTTAAATGGTTATATATGTATATATATATTAGTATATTATTATATTATATTACATATTACCATCTAAATATAAAAGTATGTTATCTATATTGTGTACTGTACAATGTCTCACAGATACAGACAAGACAAACACACAATACTAAATGTGTTGTGTATATTGTATATGTATATATATACATATATATATATATGTATATATGTATGTATGTATATATATATATACATATATGTATGTATATGTATGTATGTATATATATATATATATATCTTGTGTTTATCTTTGTCGTGCGATCGATTCCGGGGTACGTAGAGGATATATTATATATATATATATGTACAATGTCTGTGTGTTTGTGTCTGTTTATATAAATATATTCGCACGTCTATGCACATAGTATACATACTCTATTCGTTTCTCGAATAATATGTTTCGTGGTCTTGCTAGCTTTTTATGCACATAGGCTGAAAATAACATGCATTCACACGTGATGACCTACTGCTTCGTTGCATGTATTCTTTTTGGCGTATGGTGTTTGAAACTCACTTTTGTCCATAACCAGATGACGTGCATCATTGGTTTCTGCTTGTCAAGCCTACTACCTTTGGGTTTGGTGTTTCGTCGACCCCGAAACTGCCTGTACTCAAATTTGGATCATGAACAAAGTTGTTGCTAACTCCAATTCCAATTACAATTTCTTTTGGCTTTTTGTGTACCACCGATGAGCAGAAAGTGAAGAATTCCCCGTACTTCTTTGACTAGAGAAACCGTGGAGGCTTTTTCAGACATCCTACCTACACTCATTGACCGAATATCCCATGAACAACTAAGGTCTCAAACAAATGGATCTGATTGGATAGTTAAGCTTGCGTGCGCATATCTCCAGGGTATATCCACCCCTCAGCTGATAGAGAGCAAACTGAAATGTTACCACGTATCAGAAGAACAAGTTCGATGCGATACACGCCCTTTGGCGTGACCCCATGGCGGCGGTTTGGTACCGGTCCTAATTATCACCTTTCGGGTGCAATAAATGCGTACGGGTGCTCAGTATGCAACGCGCTCCTATCCAAAGAGGAGGTTGGTGTTACGCAAACAGCTGGAGGGTGGGATTTACCTACATGGCTACACAACCGACTGACTGTGTCAGTAATAGACAATTCAACATTAGACAATTATAATTAAAATATGCAACTGCACAAGGAACGATACCGCATGGTGTCACGTGGAAGTACCCACTCGTAGAAGATCTGTCGAGAGCCAATCTTACTATACATCCAGAAGTAGTGAAACAGGCGATGTTGTCGCATATATATATATATATATATGTATTTATATTTTAATATATATGTATATATTATCTATATATATATTCACAACTATCTATATCTATATTTATATCCACAACTATTTATACATTTATATTGTAGTATAATTTTTATATATGTTTATATATATATATATATATATATATATATATATATATATATATATATATATATACTATATACTAGTAGTAGTACGACGACGACGACGACGAGAGGAG